TTAAACTCACTAGAATTCAGAATATATTTTAAATTTAATGTTTGTGATGAACTTACGATAGATTTGTCGATAAACTGTTGAAATATTTGAAACAAGTAATTATTACACGTGTACAGTATAATGCATTTTTCTGTATGTGTGTGTAGCAATCAGGATTTTTTAATTTTTACTAAGAATACACAAATACAATCGATTACGATTCAATCTCACATATATCAGTCTTTTTTTAAATAAACGTATACTTTTAATTATTTTTCATTAAAAAAAACAGCAGTATTTTTCGATATGTGTGAAAACATTTTAAGTATTATAATACAAATATTAGTAAAATCAAAAATGAAAAAGGCGACAATGGCGATACAATTGATACCGTAGAGGAAAGCAATATATTTTCCATGCAAACGTTGGAAACTTAAGAAAGTCGTTCTGTCGTTTTGCAAATTTATTTCTTACTTCATTGTAATGTTTTAACCGGGCGATTGCGCCGCTCGTTTCTTTCGCGCTTCGGACCATTCCCCAGGCATAAATCACGGATATCCGTTTGCGCGGAAATGCACTGGATTTATGGTTAATTCGATTATACCGCCCTCCCCACGCTGGATACCTTTAGGTTCTATTGTTCGCAGATACACCGACACGTCCAAAGAGAAATGCAGAAGTAATGTATATAAGCAGACTGTTTTCGACAGAGCGGATTCATCGTCGCGAGTTACGTTGATAAATAAGTTCTCGGGGCCACGCCGCCGCTCGTTCCATTCTTCGTTTGATTTAAGATCACGAAAAGCTGTGCGTCTTTAAAGCGCTCTCATGTTAAATTATTATACTTTGGCTGACCTACTTCGATCTCCGTAATCTCGGCTAGCGCACCCCCCTCGATCGTAACTGCCTCCTATATCCCTCGATCCGTTAAAGCAAAGTTTTCAATCGTCTATATATATATATATATATATATATATATATGTATACATGAAATACGTATTATCATCCTTCGGTCATTTATATTCTCGTCTTTCTTTCTTCACAGTTGAAAATATTGTAGAGAAAACTGGTAGTTCTAGTAATGCGATAAGAAAAGGTGCAGTCACTAGATGACATTGAAGATAAGTTGTATTAAATTATCTAATTTTTCATTGAGATTGTATAAGTACTAAATAAGCTTGCATTTATAAATTTATCAAGCGATTATATTATACATCGCATATTAAAAGGGAAAAGATCCAGAATATATATTTTGCTATTTTAGACCGAAGAATGTTAAACGTTTAATTTTCTGCACGAAATCATGCGATTATCGAGTGAACTCAAAGAAGGAATAAAATCGCTCTTTCTCATATATGTTGACTATCCACTTTCCGGAATGAAGTGAAGGACTGTTAAGTGTCCCGGGCGAAACGATCTCGCATCGTCGAAGGATCAAAGTCCTGTCCGCGGCGCGCGACGCGAGAACAATGACGTTCGGAATGGAATTCCAGAACGGAAAGTCCCTGTAATTGGAAATCTCTCTCTTCCTATCCTTTCGTCCCTCTTTTCCCTCGTTGCTGTACATAGTCGGTGTGAGGCTGCGGGACGGCGATCGATAGTTCCTTGACACTCGTGGGAAAATCGGATACGAGAGCCCTGCGACGCTGCCACGCAGCGAGAAAGGACCCCCATTCGGACAAGAACCTAATACGCGAGAAGAATAAGCACGATGAAAAAGAAGAATTAGTTTGGTTTTATTCTCGTCAAGATACTATGAGGACAGAACAAAGAGTTTATCCGTGGATTTTTCTTTCGGTATTATCATTCCCATAACCAGTCTTCCCTCGGTTTTCCTCTTTACGATTTATAATTAACGTAATTACGTAGAGCTTTCTTCTCATCGCGCATTACATAAATTCTACGTAAATCTGTCTGCGCTGTGAGTGACGGTGAAAAATCGCGGCCGTTTCGAAAGTATTCGCGAAACTCTACGCTCCGCGCTCAAATTAGCCTCTTTGCAGAAGGCCTAAATCCGTTAAACGTTTTAATTAACTTGCGGGTTTGAACAGTGTGATTTAAACGGCCGGCGAGAAACCGCATTTTGCGTCGGTGCGTAACGCAGACAAAAAATGTAAAATTATCGCGAGATGCTGAACCAGCAAGATTCAAGATATTTCAACGGTTTCTCTCGCAGCTGAGATCGTTCATTTTAAACGAGCTTCGCGCGCAAAAAATCAAGTCTTGATAAATCGATGGACATACCTACTTGATACTTAGTAATGTCTGATCGCTTCGAAAGAAATTAGCAACCGAATACGTTGATTAAGTCATTTAATCGGATCACATCGTAGAATCGGTGTTAAATCCGTCGGCTTCGAGAATAATGCGATTCGGTGGATGTAGATAGGCATGTCTCGCGCGTTTCTGTCGTCGTCGTCGTCGTCGTTGTCTTCGTCGTCGTCTACAAATATAAGATCAGACTAAGCAAAGGGACTAGATCTTCGCCGATCCTTCTCGGAATATCTACATATCGAGAAGCCTTCCGAAGGGAAACTTCGCCGATGGAATTCGTAACGAACCTTCACGTTGTCGTCTCGCGATCGACGACTCGCTTCGTTTCGTGTCTCGCTACCGCGAAGTCCTGTCCGCAGGGTAATTAGATTCCGTCGAGTGAGATCAAAGTCTACCGCCATTTCCATCCCCGCGAAAAGCTCCGCTTCTCAAAGTTTCTCGATGCGGTCGTTTTTCTTCTAGTGGCAAACTCTGAGAGAGCGTGTCGCCAAACTTTTTCGACGCCGAGATCGCGGCGGAAATCTCATGCAGCGGATGTAATCAATAAGTACGGAAGTAGTCGCACAATTGTTTCTTTCATTATATGATATTCCAAGAAAAAAAAATTATGCAAAATCTGTATATTCTTTAAATTTTTTACTTTTTCTCGATTTAATATGTTTCTTAAATAAAATTGATTAGATATTTTTGTATGGTTATGGTATTAAAAAAATTATAATTTTTGATGAAATATTGTTAAATGAAAAGTATGCTTTGTACATATACAAGTAAAAATTAAAGAACTTTTAAAAAACCGCCATCCAATAAAAACTAATTACTAATAGTGGTTAAATGCTTTATAATGACTATAGAGTTTACTTCTTTTATGCAATACATAGCTACGTCTTATTCAATTTTTTACAAAGAGAAATGAGAGAGGGAGATAAGATATAAAAGAGATAAGAATCTTCAGAAAACTATTGTGCGACAGAGAAACGTTTCAGTTCCGGAGCAGATACGTTCGATACTCGCGTGTGACATTGTGAAGTACGGACTAAGCAAGAGAAAAGAAACAGGTGAACCAATACCTGAGGGCGCAGTGCGCTTTTACACCTTTTTCTCCGTAAATATCTTGAGATAAACGTCCTACGGCGAGTCATCGTACATGTCGCGGCAGTCCGTCGTCTGGCGCAGCCGTTCCGCCGACAGGAGGATCTTTGTGTCAGGACGAATTCATAACAGAGTCATAATTGCGGGACGGGTCCCGCAGTATGCATAATCCCGTAGTTAGCAGTTCTGCTTAACGATCCGCGAGAAGCAATCCCGACGTACCTGCCATGCTGCAGGATGGAGGCAACCCGTCCCTTATTACCACCCTTGCATTCCACCCCGTTTTCTCTCTCTCTCTCTCTCTCTTTCTCTCTCGTCATCTCTGTGTAGGGCCATGCCTGAGCTACACATAGAAAGACGAGGGCACGTACCGCAAGGTTACTACATGCGACTGGCAAAACTGCAGGACCTGAGTGTGACGCGACAAAAACCGTGGATAAAGAGCAAGGGTCTGAGGAGGATGAGGACGGGTGGTACACTCGAACTGGAAGAAGAGAGAAAGGCGAAAGGAAACAGGAGAGTTCGTTAATTACAATCTCTCTGCCTGCCACCGTTCACCGCAAGCGACCACGAAAAGGATCGGAGGGAGAAGGATGCGAAGACCCGTGGCAATATCACTTTCGGACAGTGACGCAAACTGTCAACATGGATCATGGAAATAGCAAGATGGATATTGCTACTCTTTAAGGTGGAAGGAAATTTCACTCGTTTTGTTGACACACAAGAGAATTCTAACCGACAAAGAATTATAATTACGCTTGTCTAATTAATTTAGTCTATACGGATTAAATATTAATAATCTGATTGTAATTATTCGATTTGTTATAAGTATAAAAAAATTTTAAATGTAATATAGTTGATGTAAATTGTAGTATTTTAACAAAGTTATTTAATCATAATTATTTTTACAGACACTTCCGCTCGAAAAAATTATTTCAGATTTATAGAAAAAGGAATAGAAGTTTAAAATAATACTTTATTCAGCCACACGTAAAAAAACAGATAAAAAGATAGAAATAGAAAACAAACGTAATACAACAAAATTGATACATCTAAATGAACACGCTAAACGAGTCAATTTACACGTCGCATATTACGTATCCTTTTGTTTTCGAAAGAATGTATACGTACGAAGATCAGAAAAATGTTTCTAAACGACAATAGCCAATTAGAGAAACATGCGATGTCGGTCGAATCTGATTCTATCGGAGATAAATGCATGAGAATACCCGCGAATAAGCGCTATATTTGTCCGCTTTGTTTTAGATGCCATCTCGCGAACGCATCGATGCGAATAACGAAGCACCTTTAATTTAGCTTCGTAATTAATTATACTGCCGTTGTTGCCTAACAGGAGTGTCCAGTGGTGATTTGAAAAATCTGTTATAACTCGCGTCGCGACGTGCTCGTGAACGCTTCTCGCGCACGTATTCATTGCCACACGTACATAACTCATCGTAATCATAGTTCAGCTTCATCGCTCTTATGATTATTTGGATTCGCGCGTGGCGTGTCGCGACAGTCTATCGGATTATCTCGCATCAGTGGCAATTTCAACTGACTAATTTATCGACAGCTTCGATACACACACACACACACACACACACACACACACATTGGTCTCAATCAAGTACTGGTAGCTGCATCAACTCACTCACCCGTGTGCGTCCTTTGATGGGCCTTGAGATGCGAGCTCTTAGTGTACACCTTCTTGCACCCGGGGAACTGGCATTTGTGTATCCTGCGTTTCGTGTCGGGCGGACTGTGCTCGTTGCTCCTCGCGTGGTGCCTGTTGGCTACGGTGGTCGTGGTTGCAGTTGTACCCGCGTGCGCGTGTTGCGTGCTGGCTACCGCGGGGAAGCCGTTCGCCGTGACGGAGATCAGTCTGCAAAAACACAATTTGCTTCCTCTCATTGGCTGTATTTTAGCCACGTTGTAATTAGTTCGTTGCGCGCTGTCGAGGCGCGACATCCGTGAAACGGGCCCCGTGCGTGTCACGGTTTACCAGCCCCGGCGAGTTAACGCGCGCGAAACAGCAACTAGCATGATCGGTAGAATGTTGAGTAATCGGCGCACGTCTCGTGCTTCAAAAGAAATCGAGAAGAGCGCAATTCCGGCAACGGGTTAATGATGGATCGCGAGAGCGAATTGTTTTAAGTTTCTTACCTTGACGTAGCGAGAACGTTCCGAGGTTACTTCTCAACGTCGACTTTTTTTCAACGAGCCCGTGTCTCTTTTTTTGTAAATTCCGTAGAAAATTGCCGGGAACGAATTGGATGGAATAAGTCGACCCGGAAAGTACGACCACTTTATGTCAGGGAATGCCAGTTACAGTTAATCAAGATAATTTCCGAGCGAGACGTAACTATACGACGCATCCGTCTTTCGTATAGGGTAAGTATAGTCGCGTTAGTCGCTCGCCTCTTTCAATTCTAAAGGCAATTAAGTTTTCATTACGCAAGAATAGCAGCAATGAGAGAACGTCAAAGAGGGATACCGCTGGTGTCTCTTTCGTCAACTTTTCATCGGATAACGTGGGAAAAAGAAGCGCGTTCGTTCAAAGAATAAAAGTATGCAAATTTTACAACACTTACCTTGCAACACTCTGCGCGTTTCCGGCGGTAACCCTGACGATAGCACTCCTCCCACCCGTGCCGTGAAGGTTGAGGTTGTGCACATCGAGCATCGAACTTCCACTCGACGAGTGACTGGAGTTGGAATGACCTTGACCCGAACCGGGACTCGACGGCGGCGTCAGAATCTGACCTTCGCTTTCGCACCCGCTGTCCTCCTCCTCCTCGATTTCCTGCAGCGGCAAAACCACGCGCATTATGCAACGAGATTACGATTAATAACGTAACGGGATTGATTGCACGGTCCGTGAGTTGCCGCCGGGAATCGCATCGGACTCGGACGAGTTATACGGCAGACAAATAAACCGATGAGAATCGAACCGCGATCGCGAGATCTAACTCATTACGTCCAGACTAGTTGCATCAATGCAACATCGCGCGTCATACTGAATCAGAAATTGCTTTTGCGAGAGAGTAACCAGTTGGATTAAAAAACTAATTGGAAAGATGTCTTCACAAACAGTATATTTACAATAAATAAATCAAATTCTTTTTATGTATAACGTCCGTGAATTTCGAACGTTTCACGCATAAAATTAACTTTTAAAGTTTACAAAAGTTAATGAGATTTAAAAAAATATTTTCACGAAAAAAAAACCAATAATGATTTTTAAAACAAAAACGATGTCAGAATTTTTAAAAAATGTTTTACTAATTTGTTGTTATAAAACATAGCAACATACAAAAGAATATTTGTTTCCTTTGTAAATCCATTTATAATTATTTTTCTAATCAAGCGCGAATTTTTATAGCTACCGTTAATTAAGTAGGACTCGCTATTATACGTTTAAACGAAAATACATATAATTAATATATATATCCGTTTATTAAATACGTTTTTCCGAATATACGTGTAATTAACTATTATACGTTTAAATATTAAAAACACGTTTACACATATAATTAGCATATTCGTACGTTAATTAAACGTGTAAATGTTTACCTTCAAGTAAATTTTTTTCTGAAAGCGAATATAAACGGATAAACGTTTTACGATAACACGTATATTCGAAAAACGGAATAAAATTAAAGCCCTAATTTTAAGTGAAATATTATTGATTGAAATCGCTAAGCGTACCTCATGTTCCTCATCTTCCTCAAGGTCTTCACTCGGTTCTTTTTTAAGAATGAGCGCCGTGCAAGAGAGAGAAGGTGAGCTGTCCCAGGACAGTGCTGAACACGCCGAACTCGCCGAGGACATCGATAAAGAATCGAGGTGACGATCGAGGAGATCCCTATCGCGTCCACTGTCATTATGATCACCAGGACTGAATTTAATATCGTCCAGACAGAGAGGATCTCTTTCGTCTGACGACGTCGTCACCTGTATTACAAAGAAGTATTTCAATTTCTTGAAATAATATTCTTGATAATATTAAAATATTCTAATAATATTAAATATCCTTTCTTTCTTGCGAGTTAAAGAAAGAGTATTGATAAAGTTATCAATACACTATATAAATACATACATAGGAATAATACATATAAACGAAAAAAGAAAACGATTATTTATAAAATATTAAAAGAAAAGAGAAAGGTTTTCTCTCAAGAAAAAAATCAAATTTTCTTCTAGGACAATTTAATAAATATGCAGACTAATGGTTTGTAAATATCGGCATCTATAGTTACACACCTCCATTTTGATTGGGGGGTCGAATTGTGCGCTCGTTCCAGTGGACGTCGTCCACGAGATCGATGGTGCCCTGAAGAGGTTCCAGGGCGCTGTGTCCAATTCCGTGGGGAGTTTTTTGTACGATTGTAGCTTCGGCTCGTCCTTCAGGTACCTCTCCATCTCGTAGCATGTCTGAAAGAGCAGACAAGAGAGCTTGTTAGGAGACTGAAGCGACTTAAGTATCCCGCCGAGCCGCTCATGCAGAAATGGTGGCAATGGGCGGTACTGTGGCTTAAATTTAATAGCCATAAAAGAGAGGGAAGGAAACCAATTACGATCAGATGATATACATTGCTTTAATAATGATTGGTCCTTCACACTTCTATTAATATAGAATACTTAATAAATATTTGATAAAATAGTTTTAAGAGTTCAGCGTAAGAAAAAAAGTATAACGGGTCACCAGAATGATGTAATTTGATAAGTTTATAAATAATTAGAACGTTCAAACAGTGATATTTCATCAGCTTTATTCATATATAATTAAATCTTACAAATTAATGTTATTAAAAAACAGTAATAAAAATTGAGCATACAAAAATATTTCGAGTAAATAAATCGCTTAATGTATTGTAAAATAAAAAAGTGAGATATTTTCTTACAATATATTTAATCTACTTGTATAGACACTCGTTCCCGACGATTGCGAAGCCTCAAATGCTGCAGAAATTATCTTTAGGAGTCAAGCATCCCATATGGGAAGGTACATCGCTGTCAACGCAACTACTCGCGAGTTTACGAAGTTGATGCTCTCCCGTAGGCTGTGCCAGTTTGGTACAGTTCCTTGGAGAGAGTACAAAGTTATGCTCCTCACTGCGAGGAATTATGCACCAACTATACCACACAAATGAGATTATAGCCCCCCCCCCCCCTCCCCGTTCTGGTTAAGTCTCCTTCGGGTCGTTCGTCCTGTCGACTTCTCTTTGAACGCTTCGCACAGCAAATAAACTATATGAAATAACAGCTGCGACATTATAATAGCTTGTGATTTTAATACGTATTGCGCACGTAAGTTTTAAACGTTAACAGTGTTATGACACAATGGTCTGTTCAGCTTTACGAGGATTCGATTATCGATTCTTGAAGAAATTGCGATTAAGACCATCCATTTTCGCTTCAACGCCATTGTTTCCACTTACTTTAATGAAATTCTTTACATTGTCATAGTCAAAGAAAATGTAATAAGATACAGTTAATGCAAACAAAAGACAGACGGTTGACGCAAAAATAAGAAACATTTAATGCGGAATTTCTTATATTGTTATTCGTTTTTTTTTAAATTAATTGCAATTTTATTTTCTAATACTTTTACACATAAACGATATTTATATTTTTCATTCGTACAGTTTTGTGATTTATTTTTTCTTATTATTGTTATATTCGTGCGATGGCGATACTGTCATATCAATATCGAGATCACATTTCCGTTTAGTAAGTTTCTCCGCAATCATCAACAACGCGGTACGTATAATAATTATCGGTGCGATATTCTGTAAGAGTAAATTATGCCAGCGTTGAACAGTCATATTATTCTTCTTTCCGCGAGCTAAAAATGATAGCTGACGCAAGCATTCTTTGGTATCTTCCTTCGGGCATTGTCTGCCAATTTATTATTCGCCCTAACGGTTACCATCAGGAGCGGCGGTTCTGTCTGACGCTATTACAAATGAAGCTATTCGGCTTTTATAAAGCTACTTTAAGAACGTTTGTTACATGCCGACGCTGGTAGCGACATAATATGGTCCATCGAGAAATATGTTCTTAACGTCATGGCACCACACATCTTAATAAACTGTCTCTTTGCAGCAGACAATTAAATTACGGTGTCCACCTCGGCTTTTTTAAAAACAGAAGTTTAAGAGTAAAGCGCCTAGAGCTTGTTTTATGTCAAGTCTTCAATTAAAAATAGTGTACGGAGAACTAAGTGAATTAGGAAGCACTGTTTTTTCCGCTGAGTGAGTCAGCTTTTGAAACCGCGATAAAAAATTAAAGGAGGAAGTGTGAAAGGCTTCTCTAGTTATCTTTAATATCGTAATTTACGATAAGTCTAGAATCAAACAACGAGCAAGAAGTCAAGTCTATTTTCCCGCCTGACAAAGATTCTTTGGGAACTGCAAAAAATGGCTCCGCGCCGAAGTTCGAGGGCTGCGTCTAATGCCGTCGGTCCCTTCTGCGAGAAAAATAATCGCCGCCGGGCTCCTTCATTATTCACGATTAAAGTTCGTCCGGGGGCACCGTGGGTACGACTAACGGCGTTAATATAACTTGGAAAGGAATTTTATCACTCGCTTAGGGACCGTTTCTCCTTCCCTGGGGCTTGCTCCAGCATCAACTGAACTTTACTAATCCTGACCTCCGAGGCACAGCTCTATATATAGACGACCGATCTATCCGTCGACTTAATCTGTCAGAAAATCTTCGAGGAAAACAACGTTAATCGTCGTTGCAAATAGAACAATATTAATGCCTTCGAAAAACCATGTGAATATTAATTGATTCTAATTAAAGACGTTTAAATAAGTAAAATATTTTCAACACGTATTTTTTTAATAAAACAAACAAAGTTAACAGGGTAAACAAAAAACTAGACAGAAAAATATAAAGTTGTATAAAATGTAGGAAAACGAAAAGTATTAAACGGTTTTATTATCAAAATAAAAAGATGAACGAAATTTTTTAGATTATAATATTGAGAACACAATGAGATAATGGAAAATAGATCATGCTTGTATAATGAAAACTCTTCGATTATTCAGTTTCAAAACAAATAAGCAGTTAATGTTTGATAATTATTATAATAACAACCTTTATACTTAACTAAAACAAAAGCATTTGCAAACTCGTGCTTAAATAATTTGTGACTAATATCAAAATTTCATCGTTTGTTACGATGTAATGTACAGTAATATTGATTCTGCAGTACCGTAACTCACCGCAAAACAGGAAGCAAATGCATTTACGAGGCTATGTACGACTCCGCTTTCGGGGAAACGGAATTCGATCTTTCGCAGTTTTTAGATTAATATTCCGGGAAGGTGGATGGTTTCGCGGAAGATATTTTGATTTTCTTTGTTTCCGTAACGGTAAACCGACTCTCTCGCCGCCGACTAGGAGTGCACGAAGGAATTGCCGGGAAAAATAACCGGGAGCTTTCCGGTTAAGCGCACACCCGTAGCTTTACGACTTCACGGAAACGAGTTGAAGCCGCGTCCTTTCGCTATTGGCTGCGTTAAATCCAAAACTGTGTAATAATTTAGAGAAGCCCACGGTGGTGTCCGTCTGTGTGTCCGCGGTCGATCACAATAGCCATACTAACGTTTTCCGTCAGAGTGCCCTATAAGCATCCGAATTGCGGAATTCTCTATTACGCTCTTCGCGATGAGCCCGCAGGCCATTCGTCCGCAGATTTATACGACCCTTCGTCGCTCTCTTCGTCATTGCCATGGAATTCTCCACCGGCGGAATTATACAGTTTGAGAACTTGTTCACTCATTTCATGTACACGACTATTTTAAATACAAGACCATCGTCACTCCATTTCCACGTGCGGTTTTGTCCGAGTTTTCGATTATATATGACTTAATTAAGTGTGAGAGTCGTGACGATCGTGTGACGTATTCAATATTGATAAACTAGTTTAAATGCACTCAAAGTTGTATCACCAATTTCTACGAGTGATATTCCTCTCGTGGGACCTGAGCAAACACTCGGCAAGTGCGAATTTTTTTTTACGATGTTTACTTTCTTTTAGCTGACGAAGGGATCGCGCTGCGAAGGACAGCGGCAATAAAAAAATTCCACGGATCGATAGGCCGAATGCTCGATGAAAAAGAACGATGAAAGGAGACCGTCTCGCCATTATGTTTTTATAGGTAAACCTGTAAGCCATTTGCAGCGGATTTATGAGGTTCCAGCAATTCCGCTGCATCACATACGCGATCAGCGAAAACATTCTCATTGCTCGTCAAACATCGTGTCAGACATTAAAGTATAATTATTCAGATATTAGGGTAATATTTTCAGCGTAATCAAAAATAAGATCGGATTTCAGACTTCTTATAGATATTAATAACTTACTTATTACATTAATAATAACGTTATTGTCATTATTATATATGTGCATCAAATATTATATGTATTACGTATATATAATAAGAAGATATATAATAACATAACACTCAATATATTTTTCATAAATAATATCATCAACACATTTATTATTACTATAGCTTTAGATTTAAACACATTAATTATAGCCATCAAATTTTTAACCATCAATCAATGTTATTACTCACATAAATCCTTGATAATAATCGTAAAAATTGATATATAGAGATAGTGCAAAACTCGCACAATTTCGCAGGAAATATAATTTGATTTTCTAGCGACCTAGTTGCAATTACGTCTCATTCGGTATCACGTAATGTTGTGATATCAAAGGACATTTGCGGATTTTTATTTCCCATGGAACCACGGGGACTTTCTACATTCGACCGACGAGGTCATATCTAAAAGGGAAAACGTCTTCGTCGGGCTCAATGGGCGCAGAAACAGTTCGGAGATAATGGTCACTCTCTACGACCGATAAGACCGTTCTTAATGATAACGGCGTCATTTCAGAGTTTGTGTAGGATAGAGCTCGATTCGTCGGTGGGCTATCACATCGGACAAATAGTAAGAAGAAAAAAAAAAAACGGAAGAGAAAAAGAAAATCGACTGAATCGTGGAACGGAGCGCGAAATCTGAACGGACAAAGAGGACATCGAGAACCCCATCTTGGATTCTCAAAATCTCTTATCGTAACCTGCTCGTAGATCCCTGAAAGCCGGACTCTTCTCTCTAGAGGCTAGCTGTCACCTTACTCTTCTCTCTATCTTCTTCTCTTTTTATCTCCTAACTGTAGTTTACGCAAACTCAAATCTCGCGTTATTCAACCCCGCTTCGACAGTAACGAGACCGGAACCCGTTGGATCTGGCGGTAACAATAAAATAAAGTATTTTCAAGGAGCCATGTGCCTTTCTGAAGCGGCAGGCTCGAACGTCGAGAACACTGGCGAGAGCCTCGACGACGGTGGGAAATGCTAAGAGAGAGGAAGTGAGGAGCGAGAAGAGAAAGCGAGTCACCCCCGAGG